TTTTTTTTTTTATTTTTCTTATTTTTATTTATTTTTTTTTTTTATTATTAATTTTTTTTTTTTTTTTTTTTTTTTTTTTTTTTTTGTAGAATAGCTTGAGAAAAATACTTTAGACTAATTTCTTTTAAAAACTTTTTTAGTAAGAAAAACACTCTAAAAAAATTATTTCAAAAGTAATTTATAAATACTTTTCAAAAACCTAGCAAAACGTGTCCAAAGACTTTCAAAATCCTAAAGAGTGAAAAGCCAAAATAAATATATATTTTATATTTTAACAAAGTAGGTCAATTCGTTTTAAATATGATCGGTGTTCCGACTATAGTCTCACTATTCATTCAAAGAATTGAGTAAACAACAGAAGTGAAGTTATAATTAACATTTCATCCCACCCATCTTATATGATTATGGGTGTGTGCAAGTGCAACCATAATCGAAGTATTCCTAGCTCACACACAACGAGCTTGATATATGTATAAAATAGGGCCTAGACTTTTTACGATTATGATTCATTCTGGTTAGATCTTTTGATCAACAGAATGATCGTTTCGATGCATATGATCCACAACTGCAGAGCGTATTGAATCAGTACAATTTTGATTTAAACTATTATTTCATCATATCAATCTTACTTTGGGAATTTCGAGAAAAATGAAGAAATTGTTTAGAGGCTTAGAGAAAACATACTGAATTTATTTCAAATTGTCGTCCATTCTTTTTTAACATGAAAAATTAAAAATAAGTAAATAACCATATTCATTTTGACCATTCTTTAATTAAATGATTAGCTCGTGAACATAATACTTTTCTTCGAGGTTAGCTATCTTTACATAATTTGCTTACATTTGGTTTCACACATAAGCATCAACTAGGTTTTATTGTATTTTTTGCATTAATATATTTGGTCGACCAATTCAGATATTTTTAAACTGCAGGAATATCATTCATGCCAAATGTCAAAGAATTTGACTCTAAGAGGCCTTGATGTCCCAAAACTTTTTCTATACCTACCATATTGAAATTCAATCCGAGTTTACTTAGTCATATTTACGCCTTCTAGAGAAAGTCTCCCTAGTATAAGAATGTAACAAATCGGTTTGTAATTTAAATGACGTCGTTGCAAGCATGCCAATAGCATATCACCAATACTTTTAAATATAAAATCACGTACATAATACTCACGTTAATCTGGGCCAAATTTCTTTTAGCCCCCGGAGGCGCTGAATGGGGACCTAATACAATGGTTGTTGGGCTATCTTTTTCAACAATAAATATTTTGTATTTATATGAAGAGAATAATGGCTTTAGCCGTCTACTTGATCAACCACCAACCGTTGATATTCCTGTTTGATTTAATTAAAAAAATTGATAAAAACTTAAGTTAAAGTTAACAATTAATTTTAACTACGTGATCCACAAATTTTATCCTATTTCAACCGCGTATTTCATCGAATTTTATCAAAATATTAAAAAAAATAATCTAATTTTTAATAAAACCAAACAGCAAGCTTAATTCCAATAATAAAATGAAGTAAGCCAGCAAGTGGGACAAGAGGTCACATTTGGTAACATGTCACTAAAGACTGTGATTTCTTACCAATACAAGTAATTATTTGGACACAGGAATTTATAACTGCAGGATTCAAGTCAAAATTTAGGTATTTCCTAATCTTGGCAATTTAACTATCCCATTAAATAATCAGAATCTGCTTGGGGCCTAATCTACTGCAATTTGGCCAATTATCTTTTTACCAAATTGAATTCCATATGATCAAATAGAGTCGATTTGGCCCGTGGTGGTTGACACGATGGAGTAGTAGACTAGACAACTTTATTAAGCGAACAAGGAATTTACGAGGGAAATTATTTACAAAGAGTAACTAATAAACGTATAATAGAGATTCATGTGTCAAACTCAGTTCCACAATATGTAATAGTCGAATCTCTATTTTCAAATTAAAAGTGACACCCAAGGAAAAAATATAGGATTTTGCTATTTGTACACTCTTTCCTTTATACCAAGTTTGACATTGCATTTTATTTTCAAAAATTGTGAACGGAAGAACTGTTTTTTATTTTTTTTCAATTGACGAATGAGCAAACTGTCAAACTTAGCGTACACCAAGCATGATTGAAAAGTATAATAAGACTGAGGACAAAATTTTGGTGGTTGTAAACTATTAAAACATGCATGAAACACATTCATTTAATGAGTTTTAGTATGGTTTCTTTCCTACGATATTCTTGTGGAATATGCTATCACCTTATTTGACCAATAGAGGGCCAAACCTACCCGTTTTAATATAGAGGAAATTACACCCACACCTGAAAATAAATTTCCAATTTCACATATCCAATAACAAATTCAACATTTCAAAAATCATGTTTTAATTAATAATTTAAAAACATTTTTTTATTTTTATTTTTATATCTATATATAATAATAAAAAATTGACCCCAACCAAACCCTAATCATTCCAACCAATTCCTCCCCCACCCACGCTCTCTCGCTCTCACCAGCCCCAGTCAACCCTTCTTCTCTACTCCATCTCTCGCCCTCGTAGCCACCGCCCGCCGACGTGGGGACTCCTTCCACTTAACTCCCTTTCTCGTTTCACTCTCTCTCGTCTTAAGCCACCTCTCTGTCTTCTCCCCTCTCTGCCTCTTCTCTCTATCTCCACCTTAGCCGCCGCCGCTTACTCCGGCGTCTGTAATTTCATGCGGTTGGCGTTAGGAGGTGAGGATTGTCGACGAGCCAGCCTTCCTTGCGGTTAGGGTGTGGAAGTGCAAACTGTCAACGGGTCTCAAATCTTTTTTTTTTTGTGGTGCGATGTGATGGCGATGGAGTGTTGGGTGCGGTTGCGATCTAATCCGGTGGTTGGGTGAGTGCCAATGGTGTGGATCCAGTGGTCTCTGTCCTTGCAGATCCAGTGTTGGATGTTGGTTGTTGTGTTTTCTGGCGTTGCAGATCCAGTGTTGGCTGTTGGTTGTCGTGTTGGCTGTGGTTCCGGTGTTTTGGCAGTGGCTGGGTGTGTGTTTGTGCGGCGGTGGTGATTGTGTGGTTTGGGTGTGTTTCTTGTTGCGTGCGGTGGTGCGTTTCTGTGCAATGGTTGTGCTGTTTTTGGTGCAAC